GGATTGGGAAGTTCTCACTCATGTGCACTGTACACAATAACCAATGATTGAAATAAATTTACAAAAAGGATTTTCGAAAAAAACTGTGGAACTGAAATGCAAAGTAATTTCAGAGTCACACCTAAAAATATGTATACCTAAAAACAAGTTCCTTGTCAATATATAATAGCACATTGACTAACTAATCAAAGAAAATACTGGTAGCTTTTAGTTATGACTCGTACCTTGGGTTGAGAGACATTCAGCGCAGCATGAATCAGATCTGGTTATCCATTGTTGGCCCTATAATTAGAATCAAATGAAGTTACCAATCCAATACAATCTATATTACACAAATATAATCAGACATAGAATATTGGCTAGTATGGTTTCTCCCAATACACTAAAGTTTGGAACAGCACATGACACAATTGTTATTATCCCCATTCAACGACAGCATCCAGAGTTGTTCCTCCTCTAACTAGCTAAACGAGCTACAAATAAAATCAATTTCCAGCAAAAACATGGATATCAACTGCCATTTAACAAAATATAATTTATGTACTGTAAAATGCTTCATTTTAGCCGGACTTACTTTTCGCTGAAAAGACTTTTTTGGGTGTTTTGTATGGAATTTATTTTCACTGATTGTTGACAAGTCAAACTTTAACTTTAACTTTATTGACATTATTCATTTTGAATAGAACATAGTTCAATCTATAACTAGATAACAATTCCTAAATACATAAACAAAAACATACTAAAACAGTTCAAAAAAGGCCTTGGAAAAATCAGGGAATTGATAATTACTGTAATAAATTAATTTAATAAATTACTGTAATTAGTTGAATGTAAAATATAGGAAAAAAGGTATATTCACTGGATTTTATTTTCACTGAATCATTCCTTCAGCGAAAATAACGAAAATTAATTCCTAGCGAAAATAAAGTATTTCACAGTAACATGGGTTATTGTTTCAAAGTATGCAGACTTAGATATAGTTGATGGTATAGGATGAATCAAAAGATGTACATACAGACTTGCAAGCTATCCCATCTTGACAATGTTCCACTGTACATTCAATATCTCCACCTTTACATTTACAATGAGTGCACGGATCCCTTTTCCACTGACTACCATCCTGTGAAAAGAAAACAATATGGAAGCTATAAAAACAAAGTAATTTTCCATGCAATACACTGAGGTCGATGTGACTGAAAAAAGTTCTTTAATAGCAGATGTTGCACATTCATAACAATACTGAACAGTGGATTAGTGCTGGAACATAGCAATAATTATTTAAAACAGTGTCTGCATGATAGATCGTTTAGATGGTGGATAGGAAATGATCGTAACGTTATGAGTGCACAACTTATTAGCATTATTTCAATTAAAAAATAATATCCTGTTTGTTGAACAAAATATAGACTGGACATTATATTTGTACATTTTAAAGCGGGACGGTCCCAAGTGACAATAACAACACACGCTAAAAACGCAAAGGCTCATGCGCAGACGCTTGTTTGTAAACAATGACATGCTATGGCCATCTGACGACTATAGCAGTTGACGACTCCCTCGCTTTAACCCTACAAGTGCAAGTAATTAAATTTTCACTAAATTTCATCATAATTTTTTGACTAAGTTCAGATATTTCTTTTACTTTTTGTACAAGTACTAATATTAGTTTTTGTAGATGGTGACAAAAGTTGACAATTGTGTTCAAAGGGTTAAAAGGGTATAAAAATAACATGTAATGCACATGCTGGGAAAAATGTAGAACCCACAATTTGTATAATTTTTCATGTGGGGAGGGGCAAACTGCACCAAATCAAACTATTAAGTGACTTTATCTGAAAAATTATAATATCAGCGAAATTTATTCATATAAAAATTCCAATAAAATATATATATTGGGAAAAAAATTGGTCAATGCATTGTCTAGTATAATAGACATGGAACAGACAACTGATAATTCAACCAATTTAATTTTTCTCTAACAATTTAATTCAACAACAAATAAATGTTTCTTCATAATTGCATTAACAGAGGGATTACAGTACTTACAGACAAAATACCACTGTGACAGTTAAGTAATACTATATGTAAACAAACACTCAGTTCTGAGGTAACAACACCACCAGCACATGCTGGAAATGGTAATTAAATATACTGATGAAAAACATAGACACACAAAATGCACATGTTTTCACACAAAGCACACTTTGCTTCCTACAACCAAGGTTACCTGATTGCTTGCTAGATTATCCGCCTGTTTATAAAAGTTACAAAACTGAGCTTTGGTTTATTTTCTTTATTCCACAAAAAAAACATGCCCATTTAAATCATTGGTATCATCCGTGACATGGAGAACCTTTCAGGAATGAGAAGACATGAACTGAGAGTAATACTGAAGGAAACAAAACAGTGGTATTATCCAAAGATCTAGTTGCTCACACAAAATGGCAATAAACCTCTCAGTAGATGGCATCATACAATCAAACTAATTTGAGATATACATATGACATTATGACATATAGATATGATATTTCAAAAGAAAATGTCAGTTTTGTCAATTAAATGAAATAGAAAATGAAGAGCACTTCCTTCTTAAATGCGGTCTCTATAAAAAGAAAGAAATGAGCTTCTCAAAAATTTGATGCTACCAACAAAACTTCCCGACAAAGAAAAAAATAGTTGCAATACTAAACAATGGTAGTAAAAAATTAGCTCCTCAAATTGCTAAGTACATACATGATTGTTTTAAAATCCGAGAGAACAAATTTAAAAAAGTACCACCAGCTGCCTTAAAATGAATAAAAACATTTACTTTCATTTATTATATTTTATTAATAACTTTGTTTTATACTCTTTTAATCTCATTTAATTTTTTTTTTCATTGCTATACCTTTATTGTATTTTATAATCAAAGTCCCATAGAAGATACGATAACAATAAAGTAATTATTATTATATTATTATTATTACATTGAGAAGTCAACAAGAGATGCCTTTTTGAAAATCATACACAAAATCCAGCAACCAATCAACCATATAGCTACTGGTAACAAAACCAGCTGCTACTCACGGCATCCATTCTAATGATTACAGGAATTCTACTCCAAATATAAAGTTTGGTATCATTCTTACTAAAATAGTTTAAAATACATGCATAAAGTCCCCCCTCAAAAAAAGGCTGTTTTAGAAAAGAATCAATATGTGAATTAAAGTGAAGCCAGGAAAAAAACATACTGGTGTGAAACCTATAAATAAGCATACAAATTAAAGTACATGTTACACTGTTTATGGTACAATCTCCGTCATTTATCAAGCATGAGATTAGTACACCAGTCATTTACTCCCATCCCATAATACTAACCTCATATGTTTGTCCACCATCTGAACATGATGGTCCGACACACTCTGGACAACATTTTTCAGGTTTTACAACCACTTGTTCATGCTTTTGAAAAAAATAACAGTTATTTATATTATATTACTGTAGAATACTTTTTTTTCGCTTGGAATTTATTTTTGGCTATTTTCGCTGAAGGGATGATTCCGTGAAAATAAAATCCAGCGAATATACTTTTTTTCCTATATTTCACATTAAACTCATCAAAAAACAGTG